CGCAAGTGCACCGCGAGATTATGTGAATGTGTGCGTCCGTTTCCATATCTGCTTCCGCAACTTTTATAACGAAACTTTATCGGAATTTTACAATGTGATGGATCAGGCGCGTGCGTCTTAGCAGTTTTGTGTTGTGTTAGGGTAAAACCGGGGCAGATGGCCATAGTTTTTTCTAAACGCTTTCAAAATAAAAGTTTAGATATTACATTGCAAATCTTTCTTTCTTATTAAACTTTGAACAATTAACTATTAATTATATAACAGAAAAAAGAACATTTGTTAAAAAGTAAAATTGGCCTCAAGACAAAATTGTCTTGAGGCCAATTTTAAACTTTGTTTAAAAAAAATTACGATTGGCCATCTCTTCCGAGGTGCCCGGGTGTGATGACCATAGGACTATGGCTAAGATGGCCAATAATTATTTCTAGTTTTTTTTTAGTCTTCATTTTTCTTAATGTCGTCAAATTCTCAGTTTTCTTGAACCCAAAAGTGGCACACGACGCTTTGGAGCCAGTCTTCGATGAAGCGGGGTTCATAGCGGCAGCAGCTTTAATAGCTATGAGTTCTTAGGTTTTCGCGAACGTTACACTTATGAAATGAAACTGTTTTTCCGTATTTACATCGCGTATATTTGTTTTTCAAACAAACCAAAGTTTCAGGTCCATTACAAGTATTGGGACATTTTTAATGATTCTTCAGTGCAATTCCCTCTCATTGCGGCTACCTTTTTTTTTGTATTTAGTATGCATCTAAAACAAGTTCGAAAATAAATAAATTATTTTATTAATATTTTAGACCTTTGTGTGACCGGTCCTTATACCGGCAGTCACATGGCCATCTTACACCGATTTTGATTGGCCATCTGTCCCAATATTCCGAGAGGTGAGGAGAGGTGGCCACACATCAAATTTAAACAAGAAAAAACATGATACGTAGAATTTTGAGCTTATAACAAAGCATTTGATGTGACTAAGCGATAAAAATAAAAATAATCCATATTTTGAAAAAATAAGTTCATTGTAGTGTAAAACATGAACCCTCCAAATAATTTTAGCATTACTCAAAACAATTAACAAAATTTTTACTTACTTTTTCTTTTTATTTTACTCAGCATATTCGCTGTACACTTGTACGATACGATACCATGCGAATCATTGAAATATTGCGATTGGCCATCTGCCCCCTATGGGCATCTAACCCGGTTTTACCTTAAAAGTGCAATTATGAAACCAAACACAAGCCCTGTTTGGAACTATTTCGTTGAGATCTTTATACTATTTACACTTTCGCTTCCGCATCCGCTTCCGTCTCCGTTTCTGCTAAGATTTACTTTTGACGTCTGTTTTCATTGTGACATTTCCGTTACATCACTAGTTTGTATAGAGTTACTCTCTTGTCTTATTACACTATTGTAATAGATAGGTGTTGAAATCCCTGTTAAATTGTTTCATTGTGTTTATTTCCATTTTGCAATGTTGTTAAGAAAACGTTACTTGAATAAGAAATATGAGAATAACTTTGGATCATCCTGCGAAAGCCCCAAGTAGCAAAACTCGCGCTGTCAACTCAGAACTCGCGGTGTTGTATTGTTTGACAAGAGTTTCTGTCCACAAACTTAATTCCGTAATGTTCTGAAGGCACGGAAGTGCTCCCACCAAGTCGAGTCGGCAATTTAATTATGTAATGTTTAGTAGACATGGAAATATCATCGCCAAGTCAGGTAACCACTACCGCACACTAATTTTCCTAAACCAATATAAAACAATTTTTTGTCACCTATAGTGACATTAAATTGAAAAACTTCATTTCGAAACTAATTTTAATCAACTTCAAAAAAAAGGAGGAGGTTTTAAATTCCACTGCATGTTTTTTATGTATGTTACGCGACAACTCCGGCTTTGTGAACCGATTTTGATGATTCTGTTTTTGTTGGAAAGAGAATACCTCAGTAGTGATTCCATTTAAATTTGAAGAGAATATTCCACCTCTAAGGGTGGCAAACTAGGGGATGAATGACTTTTGAGGTCGGTTTTTTTAGTACTCTGTACTGATTTTATTTTAACAATTTAAGTCTCTAGATTTCTGAATGACTGAATGGATGTTAAATAATATATAGTTTTTTATTATTTGATCAACCACTGATCAAACGTCCGAGTATTTTCTAACAAACCAAATTCATGCCCTGATTAGCCACCCTTAGAGGTGGAATATTTTTTTCAAATTTATCATATACAGATAAAAAACTACAGGCGAATTGGGATGCTCTTTCTTTTTTAAAATCCGTTAATAAATAAAAAGCACGTTCTAATCCATCACAGACAAAAAGTTACGTGATAAAAGCCCGAGGTCACTCCGGGGCTTTTTATCCATTATTTATTATGAGCAATGGAGACTCAGTGACATCTTGTCTTTGGGTCATTTGTTTTATTAATGATGTGGGAGGCTATGGGAGATTAATTGTTTACCGGCTTTTGTGAAAGGTATTTAATGGATATGTCGTAGCCTAATAGTATAATTCGTTGGTTTATTAAACTGCTCACCGCATTACATAGAGCTGGTTTATAAAGCGACTAATTCATTTTTCATAATTCGTTTACAGACGTTAAACGTACAAATCGAACATGACAGCAAATACTGTCGTAACTTAAAAATGATTTAATTGAGAAAGCACGATTTGAAAATTTTAATAATGGGATTATTTTTATTTTTACATAATAATTAGTTTTCCACGTATAAACTACAATGTAAATTTATTGATTCCATACAGTAAAAAAGATAGACTTCGTCCAAGAAATGCTGCCACCTTACCTACATATTTCTGTCGCCAAGCAATAATGTGAACATTATTGCGTTCCCCCTCAGATCTTTGCAATTTAATGCTCTGAGTGGCACTGCAACAGTATTTCTTTGCACTTTCAAGTCGTGTTTTCTCAATTTCATCATTTTTGCGTTACGATAATATTTTCGTTCATGTCCGAAATGTTGAAAGTATACTATACATTCACTCACATGCACTTCTGCAAAATAAACCAGGTGGAACATGTTTTTTTAATATTGTCAGTCAAATCACATGAGTCAAGTCATATCAAAATCGTTTAACGGAAAGTGGGTGAAATTCATCAAACCGGATTCATTCCCTAATTTGCAACCCTTAGAAGTGGAATATTTTGTTTAAATTTAAACACACACACACACACACACACACACACACACACACACACACACACACACACACACACACACACACACACACACACACATACACACACACACACACACACACACATACACATACACAAAGCAATGGAATTAAGGACCTCGTCCTTTTTGAAAGTCGGTTAAAAACGGTGACCTACGATTATTCCAATGACAAACAGATTACTATGTAGGGTGACCAAGTTTGTGAATAAAAAATTTATTATTATTGATACAAAGATCGAATATTCATAAAGAAAAATTCTTTCGATCAGGCTGTATTCGAATCAGCGTGTAGAGCCTGTTTGTCGACTTGTGAGTCGAAACACAAATCTAAGAGCTCGAATTTGCGAATTGTTCCTCTCGCTTATTCCTGTGATGTTAATCTTCTATGCGTTTTTTTGCCTATACTTTCCTATCAATAACAGCAGTGCAACACGGAATGGTCACCCAAACCGTGGCAGTGAGATTACTTGCCGCATAAAATCGCAGCGCAGCAATTCGCGTCGCAGTTTTCTGCGCGATTCGCAATTTTGTGTTTCGACCCTATGTAGTTATAAGTAAATCAACAGACTGTACGAATTTCTCTCATGCGCATTTATTATTATTAAAAAAGAATTAAAATCGACCATGATGCCATTAAGATAACTGAGGCCGATATCTCAGCTGTGACTAAGAGCTCGGTACCTTTGTGACGATGTCACCTCCTTTCATCGTCATCCCACCTTTCTATCACCTTTTCTCTGGTTCCTGGCCACTTGTTTTCAAATTTTGAATTCGTCTTTAATTCCCTTGCCTCGCCATTCTCATTTTGTTTCGTTCCGTCGTCACTCCCTTCCAGAGGCGGATTTGCACTCTTGACCGCCCTAAGCCCCAGGCCATGTAGTAATCAGTTCAGTAGTTTTTGAATTTATCGCGATCAGACAGACAGACAGATGCGGTAATGATAATATGTAGTAGTGTAGTGATTATAGTTTATTTTATACATAACATGTACGAAAGTTATTTAGGAAGATTATTGTTATACGATGCGGTGCAGTGCGGCCCACTATGAAGTTTCTTGCTATCATCAGTGAATTTTTTGGCACGATTGACCACCCCTAAAATCTAGCCGCCCTAGGCCCGGGCCTACTGGGCCTTAGGGCAAATCCGCCATTGCTCTCAAATCAAATCAAGTCTCAAGTCACCCGCTGCCCACCCGATGTAACTGCTCTAATTTTTAATTGAGTCTAATTTTGATCCTTTTACCAGTTCCTAACCTAAATCATGTGCCAATTTTAATTCTAATCTAACCTAGTAATACTGTGTAACTCGGCCCTTTCGGGGTAAGTTTATATCACGTTTTAGTATTGAAGTGTGGAGTGTTTTGTAGCGCTGTACCTGTTTTTTTATATACCCTTTCTTGTTGCAGCCTTTTTCTTTTGACTGGAATAATTGGAATAAATTTTTGTGGACCTAAGTATCCTATTTTATTGCTGTGATCCTAGTCACAGCACATTAGTGATTTAAAACCTTTTCACCTTTACCATGAGCTTACTGTGACAGTTGTCGCTAACGATTGCGCAAATTATTTGACAGTTTTGTATGGCAAATTGTACAGCGCTCTCTAGTAAGTCTAAAGACGAAGTTACGTTTTACATTTAAATGTTTTACGAGGTCGCTAACAACAAATATAACTAAACTCATCGTAAAGGTACCGTAAAGAGCACGAAACGTTGATTCTGGAATACTCGATGATTCTGGAAATAAAATTGTTTTATTTCCAATTGCGAGAACTTGACACGATTATTTTCTGTTGTTCGCAGAGCTGTGCAACGCAGCAACCAAGATTCAGGCGTCATTCAGGGGACACCAGGCGCGCAAGCTGACGCAGGCTGAGATCATCCAGGCTGAAAAGGATAAGGCACAAGCACTACAGGATAAGGTGGGTAATTTTTCCACTTTAGATACTAAGACATCTTCAGTGAAATGATATTAGATAGAATAGTATATCATCGTTTAGCAAACAACACAGCTCGAGTAATTATAAAGGAGAGTGTGAAAAAAAATCATATACAGTGTTTTTTTAATGGGACAGTATGGGGAAAATCGAAACTACAATAGATACAGGGAAATTGTCTTAGGGAACATTAAATTTGTTATAAACTACGGGCAAACAGTCGTTGAAAACCAAATACAAAGATCCGACAAATGGAGAAATTCATGAGATCCGCTGGTTTGTTCCATGGCTAAATTGGCACAGCAGTCTGGCACGGTTTGCTAGAAGACGTCGGTTCGAATCCGACCGGATCGCAGAAATATTTTCTAAGTGTTCGATGTTTGTATTAGTAATTACAAAAAAAACGTAAAAGTTTGTTTTTGGTAAATTTATTATGTTTTCTAAAAAGTCGTGGAACAAAAGTTGTTGTTTAAGATTTTAGTAATACAATCCTATGAGATTGTTAGTCTTTTAAAAATAACCCTGTATATGTACATCCTACTCTTTCTAAAGTTAAGTTTTAGACTGTATTCAATCACGTTAACCCCGTAGGTACGGACTAAAGATTTCCCAGGCGTATTCGAAAAGATTTATGAACCGTCCCTGACATACAAGTTTCATCAGGATGTTTTCCTTGATTTTCCTTGACCATTACCAGTGATCATTAACAAGCGAACCAAATTACACATGCTTCGAAAATACACCACTTGACGTCGTGTTGTTGATGTTCCCAAACTAACATACGGTTTGAAGTCTACAGAGAGACATTGGCTCTTTCCGTGTATTCTACCGTCTTTATAACGGGGATTGCTCAAAGGAACTTTTCGAAATGGTGCCATCGACACGTTTCCACCAACGCACATCCCAACAAATGGGTAGAGTCCATACCCGCATTCTTGATTCCTAGCAATTTAAAACAACGCGGGCATCACGTTCGTTCCTTCCTCGAACCTGCTAGATGTGGAATAACCTCTCTCGTAAGTATTTATTTTGCGCTATGACATAGGGTAATCCAAAAAGCGAGTCAACGTTGTTCTCAAAGACTGGCAACGGATAGGCAGTTTCTTTGATGTTGCAGATGTCTATGGATCAGCGTTGCCAATGCGTAGGG